TTGGTCTTCTCGATGTAGGTCAAGCCGGCAATGATCGGGTAATGGTCTTCGTTTTCTTAGTGGGTATCGTAGTCGCCGGTGGCTTCCATGTGCTTGACGGTCTTCTCTTGTCCGCATGGTAAGCATGCTAAATTGATGCGCAGCTGTATGTTTTCCCCATCATATGTGTGACTGGGTCCGTGCCTCTATAGTAGTGCTGGCGGCGAGGAGGTCGTGGTGCTGCAAGTAGGCGTGGAGGTACTTTCCTCATTTGTTTTCTTCTTCAGGCTGCCCGTCGTCCCCGATGCGTGGGGAGGTGCTGCTTCCCATGGTACCGCTAGCGTCGATGAGGGTAATGTCGCAATATTTTTCGGTCTCGGCGCTGTTGTTGTCCCAGTACTGGTTGCGCTCAAGGTCGTCAGCATGTGAATGCGGTGCGTGAGCGACCGCGATGGTTCTGTTGAACCCAGGTGCCATGAACTTGGTTTGGGGTTCTGGGTCATGATTCTCCATTGGTTGGGTTTGAAGGCAAGTTGTCGTCCTTTGTCGTCGCGATCAGGCAGGTGCGTGCTCATTAGTAGTGAGCATCCCAAATTATGTGTGTCGCGTCCGCTTGAGATGATGGTGCGCTGTTTGGCGGTATGGGTTCCACAAGGTACTCTCGACTCCTGCAACCCGATGATGTGCACTTTGATGTCGGAGAGCTGTTGTCAAATGACTCTGGGTCTTGCTATGTTCCTCGTTTGGCCGCGCCCCTGCTTTTCCGGGATATTGAAGGAGCGTGCGCTTTGGGTGCAAATGCGGATGTCGATCAGCTGGTCGCTGGAAGTCCCGGTGTACTGGGGTGCAACGTGCATCGGTCGAGCGTTTATCTTAGCTGGGGGTGCCACCAATCCGCGTTGGTTCATGTTCGGGTAGGCGTCCTTGGTTTCTCTGTCCACTTCTTGTAGCCATTCCAATTGACGTTCTCTGTCGGCGTGGAGGGCTCTTGACCATTCTTCTTGTGGACATTGCTGGAGGTTGCTAGGCGTATCCGCTTACATCTTGGCAAGTATCTGCGAGCTCATTCCCGGGGTGTCCTGCGCATGCTCGTGCGCGGTCAGTGTTTAGGTCGACCGTCTCGGAGGTGAGGTCGTGTAGAATTCGTGCTAGGTCAGTCATATGATTGGGTTTCTTTGGTTGGAAATTGCCCTGCGCGAATCCCCTGGCGATCGTGGGGTCGGCGTGCAGAGCGACGTCGGGTTTGTTGGTGGCGCCGTGGAAGTGCGCGCATATCCACGCGCGCGCCCATATCAGAACTGCAAGTTCTGATGTCGTCGGCTTGCAGCGGAAACTGTCGCCCCTGAGTTGGATGTTGTCGCGTGCTCCGATGCTCCCCTGGTATATGAAACCAAGTTCGTCTTCGGCGGTAATCACCGCGGCCCATGGGTCTTGGGTTGAGTCGCGCCGATGCGCGCCGTCTGCGCATAGGTGCCATCTTTTGACCTGTTGACGGGGCCGAGGCGGGCACAGATCAAGCGCCGCGGCGGCTGCTGGGCGGAGGTCGGGTGCGTTAGCGAGGTCGCGCTGGCGCTGGAGAACGGGCGGCGACGCGCGCCTCGGGGCGGCCGATGTCGGCTCCGTCGGGAGGGGCGGAACTGAAACTGTAAAACTCCTTCCTTGCTGTGTGGCCCCCCAGAAGTACGTCGGTCTGCAGATGTCGCCTCCTCCGCGTAGATGTCCAGGTTGCCTCGCGCGGAGCCCGAGCTGTCGTCGCGCGGCGGGTTGTATCTGGTTGAAACAAGTGCTGCGAGGTCCATGGCTATCCCGCCGCCCCCCTTCAACCGCCGGGCTTGCCGAGCTCTCTCCTCCCCCCTGGAGGTCAGCGACTGCTGGCGTTGCCTCGGCCCCCCTTCTGGCGCGCGCATTCGCTGCGTTGCTGCAGGGTATGTCCGAGGAATTGCGTCGTAGGCTGTCTGTGCGACGCTGGTATAAAGGGGGCATTGCTGCTCGTTGAATTCCAATTCGGAGTTGGAACCGGGATTGCGCATTGCGCAGCGCGCGCCTGGAACTGGAGCGATCAGGCTGTAGCAAAGCTACGCGCTCCATGCGCGACGTGCTATGGCGCTGATACTCCTGGAGAGGTGTCGCTGGGCCTACTGGCTGTTGCTAAGTTGGCCCGGTTGGCCTAAGCGACGGCGGCGCCCCCAGTCATGTTTTTGGGGTTCGATCGCTGGCACCTCCGTCGACGCCGCTGCTGTCGGTGTCGTCGCGGTGGCTCGCGGGGGCAATGTTCCTCTCGTCTGCTGGGGCCATTGCACCTTGGCCGTAGTCCGCGGCGAAGCGCGCTGAACGTCGTGGCGCTGGTTGCGGTCGGCTCAGTGCTGCGCGTTTGCTGTGCATGCGAACTGCTTCTGACGGCTGGTCGGGCAGCGATGTTGATCTGTTCGGTGGTGTGCCAATATGGAATGTCGGTGCTGGTCGGATGCCGATATGTGCCATGCACTCCGTTGGTGATGTGGTTGCTTCCCTTGGCGGCGCGCATGGCGTCGTTTCGGCTCCCCCAATTGGTTTGTCAAGAATGGTTCCTGATCGCCTGCTATCGGCGTCGGAACGTTGTCTCCTTCGAAATCGCTGCGCTGGGTGAAACTTCTCCGCCCAGCTGGCGCAGCGGTCGCCGTGCCTTGGCTGGTTTGAAGCTGGTTCCCATGGTCGAACGTGAGGTGGCATCTGTTCTTCGTTCCATTCATGCCGCGGCGTTGGAATAATCCCGTCAGCTTCTGGCATGGTGGCTGAGCGCTCGTCTTCGGATGTCGCCTCAACGATGTTGAGCACGTCCTTCTCGCGCTGGCAGTCGCCCCCCTGGGTCTGGGCGCCGTGGTCCTCGATGTCGGGCATCTCGGAGTCGGGGGTGACTATGGGTTGAGCTCCATGGTCGGTTTGTTGCAGCCCTGTTCCTTGTGGCGCCTAAAGGGGGGGCAAAATTGGGCCAAGGGCCGTCGTCCCTGGGCTGGTTGGCGAGGTCGTTGACGTAGTCTGCTCCTCGTTCCTTCTGCGTGGCGTGGATATCTGAGGGGGCGCCCTCGGGCTGTCTTGCCCGTTGCTGCACTTGTGTTTCTGTGACATGCTTCTTTCTTGTGTGGCTGTGGGGGTGGGGTGTGGGTGGGGGCGGGCGGTGGTGCGCGCGTGCGGGGCGGGGGTGGGGGTGGGGGGTGGGGGGAGGGCCAGCGTCTCCATGGGGTCTCAGCGGCGTCGAGCTGGCGTTGGTCGCAGCGCATGCGTTCCGCCTGTAGCTCCGCCGTGGCCGCGCGCGCCTCTTTGTGCAGTTCTGCACGTCTTCCGTGCGCCCCTCTAGTGCCTGGGCGGGCTGTCTGGTTTCGGCATTGCTTCCCCTCGGTGTGCATAATCTGCTTTTGTCCGTGGATCCCGTGTTCGAAGTATTTGACCCTCCGCTCTGAGATATTGTAGCTGTGCTGGTTGTGCTAGCGGGCCTGGTCCTCAACGATCGCGTTCTTGGCTTCCGCTGTTGCAAATTCTTGTCGAAGCCGTAAATGTGAATGCGGTTGGTCATGGAAATGGTGGTCTGATGCAGGTCGCTGGTGATGATCTGGTGTTGGTGCCCAAGGAGCTGTATAGTATCGTCTTTCTCTTCTAAGCTCTTCTCGAGCTTGTTGTCCTTGATGGGTGCGCCCGAAACTCGTGGCTGCCGCGGCTGGCGTATTTGTTGTCGCGTTTGTTCTGTTTTTTTGTTGCAGGTGCTCGCTGGTAAAGACTGTCTCCTCATAGTTCTCGTGGCACTGTCCTGACCCCTGGGAGGATTTTGCGGTTCTGATCGACGGTCTGGCGCGTGATGTCGTTGGCCTCGCGGAGCTCGTTCCCGAGGTTCTCGATGGCGTTGCTGTCTTTCTCGGTCTTGTGGGCGCTGTGCTCTGCGATATGCTGGGTTGCGTTCTTGATGGTGTGGATGCCCTTCCTGTGCTCCTCCACTTGGTCCTTCTCGTAGCGCTGGATCCTGCGGTCGTTTTCCTTCTCGCTCTCGCGGTCGGATTCCTTCGATCCTTCGAGCTGGTTGGTGGCGACTTCTTGATGTGCAGCCTGGCTTCGTTGTGTTTCGGCTTTCTGCTGCGCTTATTGTAGTTCTTGTCGCAGCTTGTTGACGGTGGATGCCCTCGTGGGTGCTTGAGTCGCTGAAGGTGCTGGTGACATGTCCCCGGTGAATCCTCGGTGGCGTCTTCCAACGTTGGGAGCAGGGGCGTCGGAGCGTTGTTGCTTTGTTCGCCTCCTGGGCGCAGTTGCTGACTCGGCGTCCGCCTCGTCGTCCGAGTCTGCCCCTCTGATGCTGTCGTGAAGCCCTCGAAGTTGGCGGTGTCAATCACCTTCAACTGTAGCATTTTGCTGGAGCTCCTCCAGCTGTTGTTGGAGTCGTCCATTTGTGTGACTGTGTCGTTGATCCTGCTCTCGGCTTCTCTTCGCTGGTCCTTGGCGTCGTATGAGTACAGTAGCATGGACTTATGCCGGGGAATCTTGGTGACGATGCCTTCGACGTCGTAGTCGTCGCTGACGCGCCGCTCGATAGTGGTGATGAGGTAGTCGATGTCGGATGTGCCATTCTCGCGGTACTCCTTAACTCTGTCGAAGCGATGCGTTGGGGGCGGCTCGTTCCAATGCTGCTGTCTCCTGGCTTCGGTGAGGGTCATGGGGATGATGTTGGCAGCCGTCTCTTTTCTCGTCTATTGTCTGCGTTGCACGTTGAGGCCG